GTACGTTTCTCTCATGCTTTGAACATATTTTATTAGATTCTCTTTTTTAAGTGACAAGAACAAAATCATTAAAAATTATTAAACTTTATTAAAAGTATGGAATATATATAATAGAAACTTAACACAAAAAGTAAAGTAATTTCTGTTTGTTAGATTATATCTTTGTTATTTTCCCTTTTAAATGGTGCCACATTTGTAAGGAACATGCATTTGTGGTAGGAGCAGTAGAGCTGAGTGTGTGGGTTGCACACATGAAAAATTTGCCTGCAGGTTTAACTGGTCAATAACTAGTAATCTAAGAATTTGCCCACCGAATATTTTGAGTAAATAAACTGTAAATGCTTATTTCCCAGCTGCTGCAGCTGCCTCGAGCGCAGCGACCCTTCTGCCCATGGACTGCGAGGGCTTTAATCCGTATCACAACCCGAATGATATCAAGAGATTTAACATCCTGAGGGAAAACCTGCTGATGGATGAGGTGGAGCTCGGCTCTGGGAACTTCGGCTGCGTCAAGAAAGGAAGCCTCACCATGGAATCGTGAGACTCAAAACATTATGAAACAAGAGACGGCAGCAAACCTGTTGTTTAGACTTTGACTTTGTTTTRTGTTTGTTTGTTTTCTGCCATTAGGGGCCAGATAGATGTGGCTGTAAAAATGCTGAAGAGCGACAACGAGAGGGGGGTGAAGGAGGAGATGATGAGGGAGGCAGAGATCATGCACCAGCTGGACAACCCCTTCATCGTCCGAATGCTGGGCCTGTGCAGCGATGAATGTCTGATGCTCGTCATGGAGATGGCTGCTGCTGGTCCCCTCAACAAATACCTCTCCAGCAATAAGTGAGTGCAGAGAAAACACTGTTGGAGTTTAAATTATACACATCTGCTAAGAATAGATATATGTTTCTTTTTTCTTTTTTTTTTACGAAAATTGAGAAACTGTTTTGTCTGTAAATATGTAAAGTGAAGGCTGAACGTCGTTGCTGAAATTTGTTGAATATAAATTTTTTAAATTTGTCCCTAAATCAGTAAAACAGAGCCTAAAACTAAATTTAGCAAAACCATAGCTAAAAGCTACAATTTTGCAGAACAGCAACTAAAACGTAAATTACATAAAAGTTCAAAGCTAAAAGTTAAAATGAATAAAACACTAGCTAAAATCAGTAAACCCATGAGTAAAGCTAACATGGAAACAAAGCTAAAACATTTGCAAAACCTTGTCCAAGAGCTCAAATTTGTAAAACTGYAGCTAAAAGCTCAAACTGTCCAAAGACACATGATAGCTAAAAGTATAAAAACATTGCATAAAGTGGCAAAACAGTAGCTAAAACAAGTAAAATTTGTGCTAAAATAGGAAAAACAACAATTGAAAACTAAAATAATCTGTTACTACAAACTGCTGCTAAAAGATAAGATTTGCAAAACTGTGTCCAAAAGCTAGATTTTGTAAAACTGTAACTAATAGATAAGATTTGCTAAAGATGCCTAACAACTTAAAGAATCAAAACCATAACATGCTAAAAGTAGCAGCAAACAGCTAAAAGCACTAACATAGTAGCTAGCTAAAATAAGTCAAATTGGTGCTAAAATAGGAAGAAATATTAAAAACTAAAATCAGCAATCTGTCACTAAAACTAAAAATGTCAAACTGCTGCTAAAAGATAACATTTGCAACATTACGTAAAAACTTAACAAAACCAACAGTAGCTGAAAACCTAAAGTTGCTAAAGACACAAAGTTAAAGTATTTAAAAAGCAGCATATTGATTAAAAAAATAGCAAAAAGTAGCTAAAACGAGCAAAACTGCAGTTTAAAGCTAAAACAGCAAAACAGCTAAAAGCTAAATGCAGTTAAATGGCATTTAAAATATAAAAAGGAAGCTAAATTTTAAAAGCAGCATGACAGTAGCTAGCAGGCAAAAGTGGCTAAAGGACAGCTAAAAACTAAAAATAGTCAAATCACATTAAAAAAAACAAGTACGCTGATCAAAGTTCAAGAACAATGTTTTAAATTAACATTTTTAAAATAAAAAGTTTAAGTGTAAAACTATCAGAAGTCAATTCTCTGTCAGGCTAAACATTTTGATATACGATGGGTAAAAGCAGAAAGCATGTTGATTGCAATAAAACAAAAAAAAACGTTCTATTTGTTTGATTCTATAATAAAATAGTTTCCTGCTCTACTGAGCCTCTGATGTTTGTCACACATTAACCTTTTATTTGAGGAAATGAGACGATGAGGTTAGAGTGAAACAACAACTGTTCAGCTGCAGACTTTTATAAACAAACCATCTTTTACAGTTTCGTACAGATCACAAAGACATTACTGAGTTAATAATCCACCTGACTGCTTTCTGGAAAGTCCTTTTTTACTTTTATGAGCTCGTGTTCCTTTTTTTTAAGCAGCCTAATGTGGTACAGGGAAGGTAACGTGTCAGCGTCATAATGTAGCTGGCAGGACCAAACATCACCATGTGTGCAGTCTAAATAAATACAGTGGTTTGCAAAAGTATTCATACTCCTTGAACTTTTC